CGAAAATCTATCTTAAATTAAGTACAAAAGACGGGACAACGTGAGCTTAGTTCTGTTCCTGTAGCTTCCAACAATTACATATATATATATATATATATATATATATATATATATATATATATATATATATATATATATATATATATATATATATACGTACATACATATGTACATACATACAGAAGGAATGGGCGAAGAGGACTATATAGTAGGTACAATTCAGTCTCGGGGACACGAGGTAGTCATTGCAGTGATGTGCAACCCACCATTGAGCTGCAGGAGGCCAAGAGAAGAATATGAAGAGAGCAACAGAGCAATGGTGGATACAGTAGCTGAGGTGGCCAGACGAGCTCACACGGGTAGAGCAAAGCTACTAGTCATGAGCGATTTCAGTCACAAGGAGATTGATTGGGAAAACCTAGAGCCACATGGGGGGTCCCGAAACATGGAGATCCAAATTGATGGATGTGGTACTGGAAACCTCATGCATCAACATGTTAGGGACACTACAAGAGAGAGAGGTAAGGACGAACTAGAAAGACTGGACCTCGTATTCACCTTGAGTAGTTCGGACATCGAGAACATTACATTTGAAAGGCCCCTCGGAGCTAGTGATCAAGTGGTTCTGAGATTTGAATACATAGTAGAGTTGCAGGTGGAAAGAATACAAAGAGTAGGATGGGAGAAGCCAAAGTGAAAATGGAGGGACTACACAGGCATGAGGAACTTCCTGCAGGAGGTTCAGTGGGAAAGAGAACTGCTAGGAAAATCAGTAAACGAAATGATGGACTACATGACAAGAAAATGCAAGGAGGCTGAGGAGAGGTTTGTTCCCAAGGGCAGCAGAAATAATAGGAAGACCAAAACGAGCCCTTGGTTTACCCAAAGGTGTAGAAGGCAAAAAGTAAGTGTGCCAGAGAATGGAAAAAGTACAGAAGACAAAGGACCCAGGAAAAGAAAGAGATTAGTCGAAAAGCCAGAAACGAGTTTACACAGATAAGGACGAAGGCCCAGTGACAGTACGAAAACGACATAGCATCGAACGCCATGTCTGACCCGAAGCTGTTGTATAGCCACATCAGGTGGAAGACAACAGTCAAGGACCAGGTATTCAGACTGTGGAAGAAAGGTGGGAAGCTTACAAGAAACGACCAAGAAGTATGTGAGGAGCTCAACATGACATTTAAGGAAATATTTACAGTGAAGACAGAATGGACTCCGGGCAGTCAGAACAGGAGGGTACACCAACAAGGGATATACCAGCAAGTGCTGGATGAGATACACGCAACCGAGGTGGTGGGACCGGACATCTTTCCGTGGATCCTTAGAGAGGGAGCACAGACGTTGTATGTGCCACTATCAACAATTTTCAACACATCTGTTGCAACTGGACAAATACCTTAGGTATGGAAGACGGCAAATGTAGTCCCCATTTTTAAGAAAGGAGACAGACACGAGGCACTAAACTGCAGACCAGTGTTACTGACGTGCGTAGTATGCAAAGTCATGAAGAAGATTATCAGGAGACTTATGGAGCACCTAGAACGGAATGAGCGTGGATTCAGGGAAAAAATCCTGTGCAACAAACCTACTGGAGTTTTATAACAAGGTAACGGAAGTAAAACATGAGAGAGAGAGGGATGGGTAGTCTCCATTTTCCTCGACTGCAAGAAGACCCTAGACACAGTTCCTCACAATAGATTAGTGCAAAAGCTAGAGGATCAGGCACGCATAACAGGATGGGCACTACAGTGGATCAGAGAATACCCTACAGGGAGGCAACAACGAGTCATGGTACGTGACGAGGTGTCAGAGTTGGCACCTGTGACGAGCGGGGTTCCACAGGGGTCAGTCCTAGGACCAGTGCTATTTTTGATATATGTGAATAACATGACGGAAGAGACAGACTCAGAAGTGTCCTTGTTAGCAGATGATGTGGAAGCTTATGATGAGAATTAGATCGGATGAGGATCAGGCAGGACTACAAAGAGACCTGGACAGGTTGCAAGCCTGGTTCAACAATAGGCTTCTTGAATTTAACCCCGCCAAATGCAATGCTATGAAAATCGGGGAAGGACAAAGAAGACCGTGACAGAGTAAGGGCTAGGTGGCCAAAGATTGCAAACCTCACTCAAGGAAAAGGATCTTGGGGTGAGTATAATACCGAGCACATCTCGGTATAACTGCTGCAGCATATAGGCACCTGGCAAACCTTTGAATAGCGTTCCGATACCTCAGTAGGAAATAGACTCTGTACACCGTGTTCGTCAGTCCCATACTGGAGTATGCAGCACCAGTTTGGAACCCACACCTGGTCAAGCAAGTCAAGAAATTAGAGATAGCGCAAGGGCTTACAACAAGACTAGTTCCAGACCTAAAGGGAATGTCCTACGAAGAAAGGTTAAGGGAAATCGGCCTGTCAACACTGAGGGACAGGAGAGTCACAGGAGACATGATAACGACCTAAAAATTTCGCTAGGAATTGATAAGGTGAACGGAGACATTATGTTCCAGAGATGGGACACAGAAACAAGGGGTCACAACTGGAAATTAAAGACTGAGATGAGTTAAAAGGATGTTAGGAAGTATTTCTTTAGGCATAGAGTTGTCTGGAAGTGGAATAGTTTTGCAAGTGATGTAGTGGAGGCAGGAACCATACATAGTATTTTAAAGCTCATGGAGCGAGGAGAGAGAGAGAGAGGACCTAGTAGCGACCAATGAAGAGACGGGGCCAGGAGCTATGACTTGACCCCTACAACCACAAATACGTACATGCATACATACGTACATAAATACATATGTACATAAATACATACGTACATACATATGTACATAAATGCGTACATAAATACGTACATAAATACGTACATAAATACGTACATAAATGCATACATATGTACATAAATGCGTACATAAATACGTACATAAATACGTACATAAATGCGTACATAAATACGTACATAAATACATACGTACATAAATACATCCATACGTACATACACTCGTACGTACGTACACACACACACACACACACACACACACACACACACACACACACACACACACAAAGATGGATCTAACACCCTTTAAAAGTAGTGATTTCTTTTACCTCGGTGAATCAATTATTTTAAACGCGTCCGAGCGCAACGAATCACTTTGGGAAGCAAGTGGTTGTCAAGCAACCCTGAGACACACTTACTGTCTATTTTAAAATCAATATTTAGTTCAGTTCTTAGTTCCTACGAAACGTCAACAGTGAAGACAGTTGTGAAAAGGCACTTTTTTAACTTGACATGAAGAGAAAATAGAGAAAGTAAAGCACAAATGATGAATAAGACTTTAAATCTTTTATGCAAAGCAGACAAGATATAAAGTCAGTTATGTTGAAGCGCAGAATAAGTTATGCCTCAAGTATACTAAATATTAGTCTTCTATTTTATTCTGTTATAATTCATGAAGCTTTAAACCTTGGTTATTCAACCCAATGAATAGTGGAGGCTCGATCATCCTTCCTCTAATCGCTACTAGATCTCATCTCTGACCAGCCAGGCTGTTGATGATTTTCCTATTTTTTTCATTAGATTTTGAATTACAAGATTTATGCTCGTAATCTTTCATAAATGTAAAAGATTGTTAAATTTATTCAAATTTTCTCAGTTTTATGTAAATTAACATAGAAATATTATAAGCAGTAACTACCGGTAAACGATGAGAAAAAGATGTATTTCTATAATTAAATATTCCTCATATAAATATGGACATGACAGTCATATGGATATACTCAGTGTATATACACCGAGAAGAGTACATCTCTCATCGAATACACATTGAAAGTACTATGGAAGTTACCTTACAGATGTGTCATCTTGATTACAAAAATGTAATCGATCCATAGGACTTCAACCTAACTAGATAACTTCGTTTTGTCGAGTACTGCACATACGCACCAGATGTATATTTCGGTACATAAACGCGGAAGATGTTCTTTAGTTCCTAATTCAGAGGTTAAAGTATCGTTTATATAAGTTCCCAAGTGGAACACACAACTTTCATGAATATCGTGTAATGAACGAACCTTAAACACACAATCCATATAAAATACCTGATAATCAGTCATTTTAGTTAGCATCTCTCGCAAATATATGAGCCTTGGTATGTATATTTTCCACTATTGAGAGACGCACTTGGTTGACAATTTTTTAAGGGAAACGTCCGGAAAGATATGAAACAAAGATGTTTACCTGCCTAGTCACGGACCGAGCCCCCGGGGGCGTTGACCCCCGATATCCCCACCAGGTATATACTTAGACATTCTTCTACACATATGAACTGAGTGTGCTGCCATCTTGTAAGTTTTGGTATGGTGCACATGTACAATCCCAGCATCTGCTTACACCTGCCCTCACCATTGCACATATGAACTGCTGCTGCAACTCTTAACCTCTTTAGTTACACCAACTTATTCAGTTTATCCTTCAAGTTGTTGTTGTAGGTACTCAGTAATGCACCAAGAATTCCACGGTAAGACTGCACTGGATCCTCTACTCACCTTCAGAACTCCTCGACCAAAGTAGATCAAGTAAAAAAAAGATTAGATTACAGTGTTAAGCAAAATATACACCCAGTGAAAACTTGAGTATACTGTAGAGTTAGCCCTACCCGCGATCCTTTGAGAACCCTTGCAAGAGGACTACCCACAACCCGTACTCTCTTTCGCCTGCGTAGTGACGTGAGAAATGCCTTTAGCAACATTGCACTTGAACTCTTAAAGTGTGTGAGCATGGCCCCCCACATGGCCCCCTCGTGTACAAACTCTGTGTAGAAGCCCGAGACAAATGCATCAGTGTTAACGTAGAATACAGAGGCCCCAGTATTGACACTTCACCATATAACTCGCTGTAGAGAACGCTTCCAAAGAGTGATAAAATCCTGTGATAGCCTCTGCTGTAACCATGCCTATTTTGTACTGCTACAATCCAGACTTTCTGTATCACACACAGACCGATGCTTACGATGGACACATCTCTAATTTGGATGACTTTATCAACATGTACAACCGAATGGAAATCCACGGTGATGATGTGCCTGTTAATGACTGTCAAGAGGAAGCTTTGATGAACGACCAGCGTGTATCCGATGTCGCTCATGAAACTCTAGAGATCAGTAAAGCTTCAAGTGAGGATTCTGGTGTGGAAATGAGTAACGGGATGATTGCAAGGAGAGATGGCGCAAGATCTCGCTGTGAAAGAAAACGAAGCGGCAAAATAATCAGAGAAAATGGATCTACTGTCGAAGGTGTGACCTGGGCCGATGCCGACAAGTCTTGTACGATTAATAGCCAACATTATAAATTACTGAGAGAAGAAGAAAGGCATAACACTCAACCAATGCAGCAAAAAAAACTTCTGAAACAGTACTCAGAAAAACTTTTACCTAAAACACAAGACTTAGTTACCAGTATTAAGGTATACACACAATAAATAGATTGTATAATGCATGAATAATGATACTATTGACAACTTGATTAAATTTTTGCTTCAAATTTATAAAAAAAAAATGTACTTTGTTTAGTATAATGATAAATGAATGTAACACTAATGATTTATCTGTTGTCGTAACTGATAATCAAATTGCACTTTCAATACTATAAAAATATCAATACTTTTAAAAATTAATTTCTCAGACTAGGAATGCTAAAACAAAAAAAAAAAAAACTTAATTACGCCATTTTCATGAATATATATATATATATATATATATATATATATATATATATATATATATATATATATATATATATATATATATATATATATATATAAATCAATATTGTATTTCTGAAACAAAAACTTTAATGAATTAAACTAAAACTGTTTGCCTTGATAAAACAAAATGTTAAGTTCGTATTGTGGCCGACACTAACAGTCCGTCTCCCCGTGACAGCCCCAACGGCGCCACAGCCACACGGGCGAGCTCAACGGCGCCGCCAGTGGAAAGCCGCTACCCAAACCCCTCCACGCCCCCGTACACCTCTCTCACCCGCAAAGGTCCGCCCTTTCTCACGCCCGCAAACAGTTCGACGACTACGACACCCAGGCAAACAGAAATCGTGAAGAATATGACCTCCTTCCTTCCACGAGAGTACGGGACGACTATGACCCAGCGTCGTCCAGATTAAGGGAGAATTACGACCCTTCTACACGGCTGAGAGACGAATACGACTCTCCTCCGTCTAGAGTGAGAGACGGCTATGATTCCTCTCCCCCTATGATAAGAGACGACTATGATCCTTCTCCATCTAGAGTAAAGGACGAATATAATGGTTCTACACGAGTGAGGGAAGAATATGATGCTTCTACACGAGTGAGGGAAGAATATGATGCTTCTACACGAGTGAGGGAAGAATATGATGCTTCTACACGAGTGAGGGAAGAATATGATGCTTCTACACGAGTGAGGGAGGGATATGATACTTCTTCACATGTCAGGGAGGAATATGATACTTCACGTGTAAGGGAGGAATATGACTCGTCTGTGCAGAGAGGGAGAGAGGAATATGACTCTCCCTCGTCCAGAGTACGGGATGATTACGATCCATCACCGCGAGTCAGAGACGACTATGCCTTAACACCTTCACGAGCCAGAAATGACTATGATTACGACCCTCCCCATCCGGGACGACACAGGGATGAGTACGAGCTGCGGGAAGAGTATGGAAAACCGGCGGGACGCTGCCAGGACAAGTACGACCTCTTGGATGACGAGTACGATGTGGGATGCCGCACCAGCTCTCGCGAGGAGTACAACACGACCCCCCACTACAGGGAAGTGTTCGAACCGGCGTGCTCCAGGCTCCACTACGCACCCAGCCATCGCCAAGTGAGTATTATGATTCAATGTACTACTAAGAACTTGCAGTACTAACGCCCCAATTTACCAGTACACCTTGTAACTTATACCTCACACTGTTCATAGATTTTTATATACAAAAAAATTCACAAGTTAGACTTTTATTCCTCATAAGGGTTATTTTTCGTTGAGAAGCTAAATCCACTTGCATTATCCACGGGAAAATTGTGCAAAACTGCCACTTGTTCAATGGATGAGTGAACAAATTAAGTCGGTGAACTAAGAATTAGTGCCTCTCATCATGGACACAGTGACAGAGGTATATTATTATTATTCGAGAAAGTACGTCAGATTCATACAGGTCTTCCAGTAGATTTAGTTGCAGTGAGTGTCAAGCAAAAATAATTTGACCTGTGTTTGTAAGTGACGATTAAATCGCAGGCTTCAATATTCTTCTTAAAAAAAAGGTAAGTCTGTGTGTTATCCTTCCAATCATTCCTTTAATTGTTGTTTTTGTCTTATAGAAAAAAAATTTGGTTTAGTTTTTTCAAGATTAGCATGATTGTGTTCCGTATCTGTCTGGTGTGATCCGCTGCATGTGTTATTGGAGTGGTCCGTTGCACGTGATCGATCTGCCTCATGCTTACCAGACAGGAGTTCACCTCCCGAGCAAGATTTTGTTTACAATGTAATTTTTTTTATTAACACACTGGCCTTCTCCCACCAAGGCAGGGTGGCCCGATAAAGAAAAACTTTCATAATCATTCACTCCATCACTGCCTTGCAAGAGTGTGCTTACACTACAGTTATAAAACTGCAATATTAACACCCCTCCCTCAGAGTGCCGGCACTGTACTTCCCATCTCCAGGACTCAAGTCCGGCCTGCCGGTTTCCCTGAATCCCTTTATAAATGTTACCTTGCTCACACTCCAACAGCACGTCAAATCCTAAAAGCCATTTGTCTCCATTGGCTCCTATCTAACATGCTCACGCATGCTTGCTGGAAGTCAAAGCCCCTCATTCACAAAAATCACTTTTACCCCCTCCCTCCAACCTTTCCTAGGCCGACCCCTACCCTGCCTTCCCTTCACTACAGATTTATACACTCTAAAAGTCATTCTATTATGCTCCACCTCTTTACATGTCCTAACCACCTACACAACCCCTCTTAAATGTCCAAATACATTCACCTCCTCCATACTCTCTCCCTCCAATCTGATATCGAATCTTTCGTTATACTCATCACCTTACTATTTCATGTATTCACTTTTAATTTTTTTCTTTTACATACTCTACTAAACTCATCCACCAACTTCTGCAACTTCTCTTCAGAATCTCCCAAAAGCACAGTGTCATCAGTTAAGAGCAACTCTGACAATTCCCATTTTGTGTTACTTTCTTTATCTTTTAACCCCACACCTCTTGTCAACACCGGAACATTCACTTCTCTTACAACCCCATCTATAAATATATTCAACAACAATGATGACATCACACATCCTTGTCTAGGCCTACTTTTACTGAGAAATAATCTCTCTCCTACATACTCTAACTTGAGCCTCATTATCCTCTTAAAATCTCTTCACTTCTTTCAAGAACCTACCTCCTATTCCATACACCTGCAACATCTCCCACATTGCCCCCCTATCCACCCTGTCATGCGCCTTTTCCAAATCCATAAATGCCAAAAAAAAAACTCTTTACCCTTATCTAAATACTGTTCACCTATATGTTTCACTGTAAACACTTCGTCTACACACCCCTTATTTTTCCTAAAGCCTCCTTGTTCATCCGTCTTACTCATAATTCTTTCAGTAATAACTCTACCATACACTTTATCAGGTATACTCAACAGCCTTATTTCACAATAATTTTTGCACTCTATATTGTCTCCTTTGCCTTTATACCAAGGAAATGTGCATTCTCTCTGCCAATCCCTTGGTACCTTACCCTCTTCCATACTTTTAATAATAAAGGCACCAACCACTCGAAAACTATATCCCCCCTGCTTTTAACATTTTTATCTTTATCCCACAAATCCCAGCTGTCTTACCCCCTTCCATTCTACTCACTGCCTCACGAACTTCCCCCACACTCGCATCCGCCTCTTCCTCACTCCTACAAGACGTTATTCCTCCTTGCCCTATACACGAAATCACAGCTTCCCTATCTTCATCAACACTTAACAGTTCCTCTAGATATTCCCTCCATCTTCCCAATATCTCTACCTCTCCATTTAATAACTCTCCTTTCCTATTTTAAACTATCAGATCCACTCGTTCCCTTGGCTTCCTTAACTTATTAATCTCACTCCAAAACTTTTCCTTTTTTTTTATCAAAATTTGTTGAAAACATCTCCCCCACTCTTTTTACATTGCTTTTACATTGCTCTCTTTTTACATTGCTTCACCACTCTCTTAACCTCTTTTACCCTCCATATACTCCTCCCTCCCTGCATCACAAATACTTTGTGAAAACCTCTCATATGCTAATTTTTTCTCCCATACTACTCTCTTTACATCATTCCACCAATAGCTCTTCTTCCCTCCCACACACACTTTTCTGTAACCACAAACTTCTGCTGAACACTCTAACACTATATTCTTAAACCTACCTCATGCATACATACTCTCACTAGCCCATCTATCCTCCAATAGTTGTTTATATCTTACCGTAACTGCCTCCTCCTTTAGTTTATGAACCTTCACCTTTTACTTGCTGCTTCTATTTTCCTTGTATCCCATCTACCTTTTACTCTCACTGTAGCTACAACTAAATAGTGATCTGATATATCTGTGGCCTCGCTTTAAAGATGTACATCCTGAAGTCTACTCAACAGTCTTGTATTTATCAATACGTAGTCCAACAAACTACTGTCATTAGGCCCTACATCATATCTCGTATACTTATTTATCCTCTTTTTCTTAAAATATGTATTACCTATAACCAAACCCCTTTCTATACAAAGTTCAATCAAAGGGCTCCCATTATCACTTACACCTGGCACCCCAAACTTACCTACCACACCTCTAAAATGTTTCTCCTACTTCAGCATTTAGGTCCCCTACCACAATTACTCTCTCACTTGGTTCAAAAGTTCCTACACACACTCTTAACATCTCTCAAAATCTCTCTCCTCTACACTCCTCTCTTCTCCAGGTGCATACACACTTATTATGACTCAAAAATCTCATTACAAATCCGTCCAGCATTGAAATGTTGAAGCCGATATGAATACTCTTTTTTTTCAAACTGTCACACAAAAACCAGTATTGTAACTTTTTCCATAAAATTAGTAAATATAAACCCACTCAGCACATAACCAACCAAAACTTTCCACTAAGTATGACACTTGTTAATAGTTTGAGGCCAATAAAAAGTCTTTTTGAAAGTTATTTCAGCGAAACCATTTTCTCATTATTCTTAATAACATTTACAATATAACAGTTGGTCAGCCAAGTAATGCAAGTTTGAAGCCTTTTAAAAGTGACATTTTTTCCGGCAATTTATTAAAGAATAATAAATTAGTAGCAACATTGCACAATTATGGTATGAACCTTCCTTTATACAGGACGCAACAGCAATGAATTTGTAATCGATCGGAAGAGGTATTCTCATATTACTGCAGGGAAGTTAGTATCCCAATTTGCTTAATAAAATTAGCAGATTGGCACATCCAAAGAACAATAAATATCCAAACCTTCCTTTAAGATACACCGGCATTCAACCTGGAAGATAATCAGTTTTTTTAAGTTTTCTGATAGAAACTTTAAGCAAGAAACAAAAGAAATCCGACAGCTATATATACCCTTTCGGAGATACCAAACATTATGGAAAAAATTTGGGCAATTATTTGAGATCGCTGAAAACGTGCGACTGACACGACTGACATCAGTCTAGTTGAAGAATAACAGCCCGGATATGCAGTATTGTTCTACCAGTCAGCATCGTGTTAAATAATATATCCAACCAATATGTTACAATAGCCGCTATTGTTTCGACATTCATGAGAACTTAATGCAGAATCATGAGTGACGGACAATAGTGCAGGGGTATACCATATAGGGTGTGGTAACGAATACATAGGTGAAACAGCAAGTTATTTGGAACAATTTGGAGCAATGTTTGTGTCCAGCAGAGACGATCGAGGACACTTTGTGGAGAATCAGTCAAGTTGTAGCTGATTTCCCGTTATTCATTAAGTCTTTAGGGGGTGAAAAGGCTTCAGGAGGTAGTAAGGGGGATCTGTAACGTGATATTGGTGTACTACAAATACCGTAATCCTAAGACTAATTTAATGGTGAAGCCTTAGTACATAAGTTTAGCTAGTATATTGAAGCTATAACTACTAGGCCTCCACAATTAGCAACACAGTGTCACGTTTGAGTGCGTGAGTCAGCCTATGGGGACAGTTTCGGCAGTCACGCATAAGTTCACATAAGGGGTCGACATACGCGGTCTACCCCCCTTTCTTTCCCTTAACCCGGCGTTAAATTGCGACTCATTACTCGATGATGTGGAGAAGAGCACTTATGCACAGTTCAGAACATTTATTAAAGGAAACGTCTCGCCACGAGTGACTTCTTCAGTCCTAATACAGAGATAACTAGTAAATAAATGGTATACAATGCCGACTAGATGAGGAATTATACACATGTGCAACATCTGGGTATCTTTATTTGTAGACGTTTCGCCATTCAGTGGCTTTATTAATGCAAGAACATAATGTGAAGAGATATATAAATATTATGTCATTGATAAAGCCACTTGTTGGCAATACGTCTACAAATAAAGATAGCAAGATGTCGCACATGTGCCTGTTTCCTAACAGGGATAACTAAGAAACGAGTGTATATAATGACAGGAGCTGCGAGGGAAGTGGTGGTAATAATAGTAAACTTGTTGGGAGGTGGGATGGGTTGAAGAAGTATCTGTCAACATCACGTTACAGCGATCTTCAGAATGGGTAATACCCTGTTGATTAGCAATTTGGATATAGTGTACCTTCTGAACTTTTTATGGATAGTGTTATTGATAGCAATTAGGGCAGCTTCTATACACTTTCGACGTCTTA